CAAACCTAGGTCTTGAGACTTGGTAGCAAGTGCCTTTGCCACTAAGCCGTTTTGCCACCGTCCCCCTTTTTAAATAAAAAAAACATTGACTTTATTTATTTTTTGGTTTTTGTGGTATTGGGAATTGAACCCAGGGCCTTGGGAGTTAGAGGCAGTCTTTGTACTCCAAGCTGCACTCCCAATCTCTTCCCCCACCTCCACCCCCAGTCAACTCCTTATTTCTTTTCTCGCAATGCTAGGAATCAGCCCAGGCCCCGCGCATGCTCAGCGGTGAGTTTCACTGCTGAGCTATACTCCTGGCCCAGAACCTTCTTTCGTGTCGTTCTTGTTCCAAACCAAACTAGGAAGTGTTCTGTGTTGGTTTGTCCGAGCAGGCTCTGTTTCTATTCTCTTGTGCCATTCAGTAACCAGCGCCGAGCTGGCGCTTGTTCAGGATGCACCGTGGGACTCGTGAGTCTAGTCCAGACTGCTGCAGAAGTGCTAGTGATGATGAAAACCTGTTCCTTATCTGCACGCTGAGGAGTGAAGGCCGTAGAATATGAACAGTGTCAGTGAACCTCGGTGCTTCAGGGAGGTAGACAGGAAGTGGACGAGAAGGACTAGCCTGTCAGATAAAATACGGAGGAAACGCACGTAGCTCTGACTGGATGGGAAGCTGGTAGATGTGGATCTACATGTGCCCCCAGAAACTCACTCATCTCAACGCTTGGTCCCCAGTTGGTGATACTGTTTGGTGAGGTTGTGAAGCCTTTAGGAGACGGGGGTCTGTCAGGTTGATGTGTGTCAGTGGTGTGGGCCCCTGGGGACTGAAGCCTGGCCATGTCAGTTCTTTTTTCCCTCTGTTTCTTTCTTCCTTTTTTTCCTTTGAGACAGGTTTTCTCTGTGAAGCAGTCTTGGCTGTCCTAGATCTCACTCTGTAGCCCAGGCTGGCCTTGAACTCACAGAGATCCGCCTGCCTCTGCCTCCTGAGTGCTGGGATTTAAGGCGTGCGCCACCACTGCCCGCCCGGCCCTCTGTTTCTTGATTATATCATTGTGGGAGAAGGCCAGCCTCCAGCTCCCACTACCACAGGCAGGAGCCAGCATGGATTATCTGAGCTTTCCTTGCAGGAAAAAAAAAAAATTTAATTAGACTTTCCCCAAAGCTTTTGGTTCTCTGTAATAAAGCAGTCTACCCCTCCCACTCCATCTAAACAAGCCCCTCACTTAACTGTCTGTGAGAACTAGTGTGTGTGTGTGCGTGTGTGTGTGTGTGTGTGCGTGTGTGTGTGCGCGTGCGCGTGCGTGCGTGCATGCGTGCACAAGCGCATGCTTGCTTGCTTTGTTTTCAGACAGGATATTATTGTACAGGCCAGTCTGTCCTGGAACTCCTTTGTAGTCTAGGTAGCTCTTGAACTTGTCACGATCCTCCTGCTTCAGCTTCTGAGTGCTGGGATTACAGGCTAAAGGTGATATGCCTGTCTCTTTTTCCAAGAAAAAAATTAGAAGTTTTGGCCAACACAGTCTACATTTGTTTTAATGTAATTTTTATTGTGTTTGAATAAGCAATTTGTGGTAGGATAATCCATTTTAATGCTCTTACATTTATTCTTTGATAATGTCATACATGTATGTGCTGATCATATCTCCCCCCCAGCTCCTTCCCAACTTACAGTGTTTCAATTCTGACTCCTTTTTAAGTTCTAATCTCCTCTTTGGTTTTTATTTCTTAGTACTCACATGTTTATGCATGTTGTTGGATTTTCACCTGTCTTTGTAACTGTTAAGTTAGAGCTCATGAAAACAAATTAACAAGCCATCCCATAGCTTTGTATCTTTAATCATGCTGCGTTCCAGGGGTGTTGCCACGATTCATGGCCAGTGCATCTCCTGTTCATCTCTTAGTTTCATTTTACTTAAAAAGTCTTTATGGTATTATTAGTGCTGTATGGTGATATTTCGTTTGTGAGCTAACAAAGAACGCTTGTCTGAAGATCAGAGGGCAAAGCCAGCCACTAGTTAGCCATAGCGGTCAGGTGGTGGTGGCACACACCTTAAATCCCAGCACTAGGGAGGCAGAGGTGGACGGATCTCTGTGAGTTCAAGACTAGCCTGGGCTACACAAGATTGATCAGTCTAAAAGAGAAACAGAGCTAGGCAGTGGTGGCACACACCTTTATTCCCAGCACTAGGGAGGTGGAGACAGGAAGTGATATGGCTGGGCAGAGAAAGGAATATAAGGTTGGAGGAGACAGGAGCTCAGGGCTCTTTCAGGCGAGGATTCCTAGAGTAAGAAGTCTCTCTAGTGGCTGGCTGCTCTGCTTCTCTGATCTTTCAGCTTTCACCCTGATATCTGGCTCCGGGTTTTTATTATTAAGACCAATTAGGATTCGTGCTACAGTGTTGTGTGTGGACAAGTGTGTGAATGTGTGCATGCCACACTGCTGATGTGTCTGTCATGCTTCCAGAACTGAAACTCAGGTCATCAGGTTTCCACAGCAAGTGCATTCACTTCCTGTACCACCTCAGCAGCCCTGTTGTTGACTTAGTATCTACCTGTACATTTATGTAGGGGAGGTGTGCAGGTGTCGGAGAGGTCACGACAACGCCAGGTCTCAACTGTCGTCACTGAAGCTGTCCACCTTTGCTTTAGGACAGTCTCTCAGGAGCCTGGGACTCTCCACCTAGACCAGGCTGGACAGGAAGCCCCAGGATCTTACCTGTCTCCATTGCAAGCATGTTCCATGGTTGTTCTGTTCACGTAGGTTCTGGGGATTGAACTCGGGTCCTTGGGCTTTCGAGGCAGATGCTCTCCTGACTGCGCTGTCTTCCCAGACTTTTAGTTTTGCACATCATCCAGAGACCTGAGCTCCAGCCTGTTTTGAGCTTCCCTTCTGGCTTTCATTACGTGCTTCCTTCCTGCGCATTCCAGATTGTTTCAATCTTCGTAAACATTGTTCATACCCAAGTCACAGAAGTTGTGAAAAATCCCCTGGCTGTCTTCACTGGAAGGGGGCAGACTGAAGGCAAAGAGACTGTTCAGAGCCTAAAAACCAAGCATGTTATCTAGGATCTTACCTATGTTTAATCTTATTTACTTCTTTAATCTTATTGCTAGTAATTAGCTTTTGACTGCTAATTAATGTAATCTCCTAGTATATCTTTCCCCCTCAGGATTGTGAAGCACTTGGAATTGTAAGCAGACTTTAATTAGGTGGAATTGATTGTCTCAATACCTCTCAGTAAAGAGCACAGCAGAAAACCCCAGATACTAGTTTGTATGAGTAAAGAAAAAATCTCGCCTGGAATCATTGTCCTGTCAGAGCATTCAGCACACACTTGCGTAGTGTCTGCAGGTTTATCCACACACACATAGACATAGACACACAATGTATTTATTGTCAGCATTTGTGCATGGTGTGTGTGTGTGTGTGTGTGTGTGTGTGTGTGTGTGTGTGTGTGTATGTGTGTGTAGGTTCCAAGGATGGAGTTCAGGCTGCCAGCTTATGCAGCAGGCTCCTTACTCACTGATCTCTCTTGTAGACCCCAACGTGTGTATTGTTGATTAATGTATACCATTTGAAAGTATTTGTTTCTGGGCATCAGTGAACCATTTTTCCTTAAGACTCAGGCAATATATAGGATGATTTGTTAATATTTCAGTTTTTAAGGTCTAGCAGTGAGAAGAACAGGACTCACTATGATTTAAAAATGAGATATATAATGTCCTTTACAGTGTTTTTAGAGGTATACCGTGTGTAAGGTATAAAGTGGACAGCTCTGTATTCCAGTCATACCCTAGTCCCTGCAGGTGAACGTCATTGATGCCTGCCAGTTTGGTAGCCCAGTGCTCTGTCTACTCAACTTTGTGCTGTCTGAATCCCCAGCACAAATCTCCTGAGAGCACATCTTGGTGTCAGAAGCACCTGGGCCAACTCTACCTACCGTTGTCTCCCCCTAGCCACTGGGTCAAGCTGACATGTCCGTTGACATGTCCCTGGCCCTGACTCCCTTGTGCTGTGGAGGTATGTGTCTACTTGACCATAAGTGAGTCTTGAGATGTAGGAAGTCCTCTAACTTTTTTGTTCTCTTCAGAGTTCTCTCAGCAATCCTGTCTTTTGCATTTGTGTCTAAATTTTTGAAGTCAGCTTGTCTCTAACAAGCTTTTTTCTTAAAAAGCCTGTTGGAAGCAGGCAGTGGTGGTGATACACACCTTTAATCCCAGAACTCGGGGAGGCAGAGGCAGGCAGATCTCTGAGTTTGGGACCAGCCTGAGCTACAGAGTGAGTTCCAGGACAGCCAGGGCTACATAAAAAAAACCTTGTCTCGGAGAAACTAAAACAAACAAACAAAAGCCTTCTGCAATTTTAAATATGATAACATTTGGTCTACAGGTCAGTTTCAGGTAGTTGATGCCTTACAGAACTGGATATTTACATCTATGGAAACAAAGCATTTTTCCATGTACTTAGAGCTCTAGAATTTCTTTCCTTTAAGTGGTTTTTTTGTTGTTGTTGTGTGGTGGTGGTGGTGGTGGGGGGGGTAGTCCTGGCTGTCCTGGAACTCACTCTGTAGACCAGGCTGGACTCAAACTCAGAGATCTGCCTGCTTCTGCCTTCTAAGCACTGGGATTAAAGGTGTGTGCTACCACCACCTGGCTAGAAAATTTTTGTAATGGTTTTTTAAGGAGCTTGGGTTGTGTTTTTTTTTTTTTTTAAATACTTTTGTTGTTTTTTGAAGTTGTAATAAAATGTTGTCCCTTCCACCCTCCCTTGCTTCCCTCCAAACCCTCTCTTATGTAGCACTTGTTTTATTTCAAATTCATGACTTTTTTCAGTGTTGTTACAAATGTCTATATTTATTTAAAAATAAAAATAAAACCTTCTTGGTTCATCTGTTACTTATATGTATGTGTTTTCGAGACTGAGGCTTTGGGTTTTTGTTGGTTTGTTTGGTTGTTTGGTTTTTAGATAGGTCTTGTATGTTCCCCAAACTAGCCTCACACTTCTCTTCGGACCTCAGCTTCCCGAGTACTTGGGACTCCAGTGGGTACCACTACACTCCACTCTGAACTCCTGTGTAGGCTGCAATGTATAAACTTATCTCCAATGAGTCCTTTCATTGTGACTGTAAACAGCATTGGATTTTTTGTTGTTTTTAGAAATACAAGCATCTGCTGGACGTAGTGGTGCATGTTATGTAGCCCAGGCTGGCCTCACAATGTAGAGAGCCACCTGCCTCCCTAGAGCTGGGATTAAAATGGGCCCTCGCTCCTGGCTCTGAAAGTTGTTGAGCACTGGCCAGATTCCACAGGTGGAAAATTCTGTACTGAACTCAGTTTGTTGTTGTTGTTTGTGAACTCAGCGTTGAGGGTCACAGTCAGATTGCAGTCACAGTCAGAATATTACATAAAATTACCTTCAAACTGTGTGTATAATGCACATATGAAAGAAACACAAATGAATTTTGTGTTTAGACATACCAAACACAAAACAGATGAGATAGTTTATGCTGTGCATGCAAACACTTGAAAAACCTAAGCACTTCTGGTTGCAGACACTTTGGAGCAGATCAGGAGTTGATTTGCTCACCACATGGCTTCTCCAGTGTGCTGTGGAGAGTGGAGGCACACAGGCCTGAGCCTGTGGTGTCTGTGCTTGGATCAGTTCTCACAGTGTTCAGCATATTTGTGATTGCCAAAGTGAGCAAAGTCGCTCTGGACATTCTGATTTTCATAGCTTGCATTCTTGGTCACAGTCTGCATTTTTCTGTAAACATTATTAGTTGAATTTGTACATTGGGACATGATTTTACAGTTTAAGAGGCCCCTGTTCTGAGGAAAATAATTACATTCTAAATAAATTTTTATAGACGTGTTTATGATATATAGTTTCTTTAAAGGTAAGCATCCATTTTTAATTCAAGACCAGTAATTCAGGTTATGAAATTGTCCTCAAGATCTGAAAGGAGATTTTCCAGAATGTTTAGTTGATAGAAAATAGTTTTTGTTATGGGGTTGTGGCTTATTACTAAGAAATGTCTGAGAAGTGTGTAATAGCATATTTATGAAGCTTTATTGACTTTTTTTTCCAAATAATTCTAATAAAAATAGCAAAATAATCACAGACATTTAAGATGTCTACCTGGAATACTAGTTTATTGGAGTAATCTTACCTATAATATTTTCTTCTTCTCAAGGTATCACAGGCGCCGTAAGAAACCGGATCCCCCCAAAGACAGGTGACGACTCTCGATCTTCCAAGCATCGAGGAAATTTTGCTTTTGTCTCATTTGCCAACTGAGAAAATGCAAATGGTGTGTTTATTAAGATGTTCTGTAAGAAAATAATAAAAACACCCTTTCATAGATTTCAACGTGTTTCTCATTATACTGATTCTGACTTTGAGGTTCTTATTTAGAGAAGCCCACTTTGACCTTATTTTCCTTTTGAAACATTAAAGTCTGTTTTTCCCATTTTATTTATTTATTTTGTTATTTGAGAGAGTCTCTCTAGTAGCCCTGGCTGACCTGGACCTGTATGTAGATCAGGCTGGCCTTGAACTCACAGAGATCCACCTGCTTGTACCTCTTTTTATTTTATTTTTTGACTATTTTAATTATGTGAATATGTGTACACATGAGTGCAGGTGCCCACAGAGGCTCTGGCCTGGAGCTAGAGTTAAAAGCAGTTGTGAACCACCCAAAATGGTTGCTGGGACTTGAACTCAGGTCCTCTGGTGGTAAAGTACATGCTCTTAACCACAGAGCCAGCTAGCTGGGTATATTGGTACACGCCTTTAATCCCAGCACTCGGGAGGCAAAGCCAGGCGGATCTCTGTGAGTTTGAGGCCAGCCTGGGCTACAGAGTGAGTTCCAGGACAGCCAGGGCTACACAGAGAAACTCTGCCTTGAAAAACCAAACAACAACAACAACAACAAAAATACAAGCTAATCAGAAATACTTACCTGATGGATTCACACACTGCCCAGGGTAGTTTTGCCCTGGGTAGGTGGGAAAAAGCTAACGTCCTGTGCCATTATGGTTAACAAATATACAGATGGGTATGGGAGGGAGAGGGAGAGGTCCCTGTGCCGTGGAGGGAGGCAGATCTGTAGAGGTGAAGGAGATGAGGAACCAGCTGATGTGGGAGGCCTGCTTGCCATCTGGGGCCATGGTGATGTCAGGTATAAGCTGCTGCCAGGGGACATGTCTGGGTCTGTGGTCCTGCTGCAGCTGGGGTCTGTGTGTATGTCCATGGCTCCTGTTAACCATCAAAGGCCGTGAGGATTCCCGGGGTTTGGCTGCCACATGTGGCCTCGTTGGTGTCCAAGGTCCATGCCACAGCAGGGGCCATCTGGATCTGAGTGACCTGGGCTGCCACCCGGTTCTGGGAAGAGATCCTGACACTACTGCAACCAGGGCCTGTAAGGATATCCATAGCTCTCAGTACCATTGAGGGCCTGAGGTCTGGGCCACCACCTGGGGCCATGTTGTCCCAGGTCCACCTGGCGATGCCTATCTGAGAGACCCGGGGTCATGGTGACATCGGTCCCATTTCAGCCATGTTCCGCCATCGATGTCTGTGGCTCAGGTTACCACCGAAGGCAGTACAGACGGCCCGGGGTCTGGACCAACACCTGAGGCTTTGTTGGTGCCAGAGGGTCACGCTGTCATTGGGGCCATGCAGATCGGGGTGGCCTGTGCTGCCCCCCAGGGCCATTGTGACATCCAGGCCCAAGCTGCAGCTGATGGCCATGTCTGGGTCAGTGGTCCTGCCGCAGCTGGGGTCTGTGATGGTGTCTGTGGCCCATGGTACCACAGGGGCCATGGGAACCATGTGTTGATGAACCATGAGTTGAACCATGAGGTCAAGTACAAGGGTCTCGCTGAGCTGGCCCTCCCCCTCATGGACCCTGTCCCTTGCTGGCCCCAGGACAACAGACTCCAAGGATGCCAGCACAGGAAAGCTGTTCCAACCTTAATAGGAGAGCTGGACCCCCCATACCTGAGGAATCTGGCTCACCCCTAAAAAGAGAGTTGCACCCCCATTCCTGGGAAAGATGGCCCCACCCCTAAGGAGAATTGGACCTCCATACCTGGGAAAGCTGTCAGTGCCCCTCACTTGAGGGGAGTGCTCTCCCACTGGCCCAGACTGACCAACTCAGCAGCCTCCCAGGTACACACACATCCAGGGCATTGAGCTGGCACGCCCCGACATCTACCCCATCTGTGACCCGCTGGAGTGTGTGAAGGGACTGGTCCTGCGGAACCATGGCCGCAGGGTCTACATGGGCAACAGCGGATGTCCCGGGAGTTTCCTTGCGGGTCCAGTGTGGATGGTCTGCCAGAGGCCAGAGGCCTTGAACCCGACCAAAAACACATTACACAACAAACATTTGCAAGGAAAGCGGTTCAGACAAAACGGTCTACTGCATGGCACACGGCAGCTCCCGATGCCACCAAGACCAATGCCGAGGCCATGGAGAGGCAGAGGCGGAGGAGCGGAGTCTTTTCTTTCTTTTGATTTTTTTCTTTCATTTCGTTTTGTTTGTTTGCTTTTTTTCCGTTAAATGGTTTGTTTTTTAATTGAAACTGATATTTGTATTTTTATTGTTTATTTAAATTATTTTTTTTTTTTTTTTTAAAAAATTGTTATCTATTATTGTTAGTTTTCCTGTGGGGGAAAACTATGAGGGTGAGGGGTGAATGCGGAGGAACTGGGAGATGGGTGAGATTGGGATGCATGATGTGAAATTCCTATAGACTCAATACAAATAAATAAATAAATAAATAGATAGATAGATAGATAGATAGATAAATAAATATAACCACAAAGCACATGCACGTACGTGTGCATGCACACATACGCATACACACACACACACACACACACACACACGCACACACACGCGCACACGCGCGCGCACACACACAAACACACAGACTTACCAACTGTGTTGCTGACTTTCAAACATGATTAGTTTTGTTTGAACAAAACTATATTGAAAAAATTTATGCTGGTTAGTGGTGGCACAGAACTTTAGTCCCAGCCATCAGGAGGCAGAGGCAGGTGGGTCTCTGTGAGTTCGAGGCCAGCACAGTCTGCAGACAGTCTATGGACAGTCAAAACTGCACAGAGAAACCCTATCTTGAACCCCTCCCCCAAATTATGTGGATCTCTTGAAAAAATTTCAAAGATCAATATATTTTATAAATATGGAAGAATAAGACTTGTAGGTTGAATTAAGTGATTTAAAAAAAATGCTACCATCAGTCCAGGGGTGATTTCTTCTAAACAGTGTAGAATTCTAGAAGGCCAGAATCACACCGTCACATGTCAGTGTTTTGGAAAATTAGACTTCAATGCACTGAAAATATAGATTAATGTAGTTACTGGGATTTTTATTTTCACGTGTTGCTGATTTTGACTTTTCTCCACCTCTCCCATAGCAGGGGCGGAACCATTGGCTGCTCACTGCCCTTCCTATGACACACCACTGATGGGTCTCAGTGGGCATTTAGACATACACACATGGGATGCTCCTTTAAATGCAGCTCTGTCAGTCAGCCTGCAGAACACATTCTTGGTAAAACCACCAGAGGGCACTGTGACATTGCGTTCAGCCTGAGCGCTTCCCCTGCGGTTGGCAGAGAATTTGAATATTCCTACTTGAGAAGGAGTGGTTCAATAAATTCCACTGCCAGAAGACATTCTACCAGTGTATCACTGTAGCTGAATGTTTTCCTGTGTCCCACCCATTCAGCAGCCGCTCAGATCCAAGTAAACACACAGAAGCTTATATTAATTAAAACTGCTTGGCCATTAGCTCAGGGTTACTACTGACTAGCTCTTACACTTAAACTCAGCCCATTTCTGTTAATCTATATGTCGCCATGTGTTCCGTGGCTTTACCTGTGTGCCATTACATGCTGCTCCCTGGATGGCGGGCTGGCGTCTCCTGACTCAGCCTTTCTCTTCCCAGAGTTCTCCTCTCTGCTTATCCCGCCTATACTTCCTGCCTGGCTACTGGCCACTCAGCATTTTATTAAACCAGTGTACAAAAGCATTATCCCACAGCATATCATGAAATATTTATATAACTGCTGGTTGTGAGAAAACATGCTTTTTAGTTGGACAGACAGCAGCAAAAGTCTGTAATATCCTTGGCATTATCCACAGGGGCTACTTATTTTTTTCTAATGACATAATTTTCCAACTGTGGGTGTAATTCACTATCATTTGTAAAAACTGGGACTGTAGAAAATATTGATCCACTCAAAGATAACTTTAACTTTTTTGCCCTTTCTTTTTAAAACAGATTAATTTTTTTATTTTATGTTTTATTTTATGGGTGTTTTGTTTGCATGTGTATCTGTGTACCATGTGGGTACCCTTGCATCTCCTGTGACGGGTGTTACAGACAGCTGTGAACTGACATTGGGGTCCTGGGAATCGAACTCAAGTCCTTTGGGAGAGCAGCCAGTGCTCTTGACCTCCGAGCCCTAGTACTTTGGTTTTTGTTTTTGTGTGTGTGTGTGTGTGTGTGTGTGTGTGTGTGTGTGTGTGTGTTATTTTGCTGGGGATTGACCTTGGGTTCTTACACATGCTAGGCAAGCACTGTACCACTGAGTCACCACCTCATCTAACACAAGGACAGCCTAGAGGGCTTTGTGACTTTCACCCTTGAGGTCACCCAAACCCCCAGCACGTCCCAAGAAGCTGAGGACTCGGCGGAGAGTGATTCAGTCACAGTGAGACAATGTAAGAGGATGTGTCAATTAAGACTTGGTTTCCAGGGACAGAATCTGTCAGCCATGGAGGCCAGCGGTGGGAATTTGTTGTGGGTGTATCTCGGGACTGTAGGGAAGTGCAGCTGGACCACGGGGACAGGTCAACTGGGGACTTGGTCCCCTCCAGTAGTTTCTGCCCCCCATCTTTTGTTGTTGTAAACATTTATTCGGTGTGTGGAGGATGGATGTTCCATTCTCTCCTACCATGTGGGCTCTGGGTATTGAACTCAGGCTTGATGGCAGTCTCCTTTACCCCCTGCGTCATTTACCAGTCCCCACTCCTGGTGTGTGTGTGTGTGTGGTGTGTGGTGTGTGTGTGTGGTATGTGTG